CCCGACACTGACTTTGACTTTGAAGGGAACCTGGCCCTGTTTGACAAAGCAGCTGTGTTTGAGGAGATTGACACCTATGAGAGGAGGGGGGGGGCCCGTTCCCGGGGCACCCCGAACGAAAGGCCTGCTCGGTACCGCCACGATGAGAATGTCCTGGAGTCGGAGCCCATCGTCTATCGAAGGATCATGGTGCCCCACAGCGGGAGCAAGGAGTTCTGCACTGGTGAGTGCAACCGAGGCACCGCCTCGCAGTCAGCAACAGAGGGGCTTGGTGGCTGGCCCGTTGTTCATGCCTTTGGGGTCCTGCTCACAATTGCACATCCTGCTGCGATGGAAGGCTACTTTCTCCAAACGTCCACTTTATGCAGCATCTGACAGGTTCCGGTCAGCACCCAAACCAGCGGCCTGAGTCAGTTCTGACGCACGGTGTCCCATGGGTTTCCGTGTAGCTAGAACTGCCCTGTAGGCTTGTCATGGCTGCAACCTTTTCTTTTGAGGTGCATCTACTTGGGTTCAAGATGCCAGCCTTTCAGTCAATAACCCTGTGTTAAACCATTTCCATCCCCCAGACCCCCGTTACTCAGAAGGGAAATGCAAATCCACATCATAGACCTCACCCTCGCCAGGATGACTGTTACCAGGAAAACCAAAATTAGCAAGTGTCTGACCTGCGTTCTGTCTTTGCAGCCATGGGTCACCCGGGGCCTCGGAGGCCTCCACGGGCAGTGGAGAGTAGGAGCGTCTAAGAGGTTCTGCAGGGCCCCAAAGGCGTGTGCAGCTTCCAAACAGGTTGTCGGTGTTCTCATCTGCACAGTGAGGACCACAGTGCGGGCCTCTCTAACTCATTCCCCGAAGGAGCTGTGGATGCAGAGCCCTGAAGGCTACGCTGGCCTTTCTGAGCTAGCAGTCCAGGTCTCTGCCCCTGTGTAGGTGGTCTGAGCAGTTAAAGACCTAGGGGACAGCTGTCCAGATTCACATAATTCTGATCTGTTTTTACTTTGCCTTTGCTGTCACAGCTTGCGCATCTCATTAGCGGTCTGGCTGCCTTATTAGTGATTTGCAGCTGGAAAACAAAAAACCATTGAAGATGGATATTTGAAACCATTGGCCGCAATTTCAGATTTCAGTAAATTATATTTGTTTTCTACGCCATTCGAGTCTTCTGCTGGCCCTGGTCATTGAGACTTGACTAGCTATGATTCTTGTGTAATGATGGTACTAATGTGGGTTGCGCTATGTGATGGTCTGATTGCATTATTTTGGTGATTCTTAAGTTTCTTGTTTTAGCAATAGAACCTTTCCTTTAAATAAAATCCTAAATACAGGCCCTTGGCATATGAAGTCGATAGAGATGGTGGAAAGGTGGCCTACCTTGTCCCTGCCCCCATCCCTTCTCCCCAGAACCACGTGACTGACTAGGCTTCTCAGAATACAGCTGCACGCCCTTACGAGGGACTCGCAGCCTTTCACGAGTAGGAGGAGCCGGGTAGACTGAGTTCCCTTGGGTTTGACGTTCGGACGTCAGTCTTCAGTGGTGGGAGTGGTTGCAGGGAGAATTAGGGAGACGGCCCGGTGGCGTGTGGAGGAAAGTCAGAGAGACATGGCTTTGGCAGGCCGCAGCGGGCCACTGGTATGTTTGCATGTGGGTGCTTGCTGTCTGTGAGAGAACCGGCAGGGTGTCAGGCTAAGAAAGACTGCTAACATGCCCTCTCGCCGGCATTGCCTCGGCACTCATTCTTATCCGCCAACAACGATATGACGGTGCCGAGCACGTCTGATTCCGCTTACCACCTGTGTAAAAGGAAGCAGTCTAGTTAAAAATGGGATTTCACGTAAATGGTGAGGTTTTCCGTTTTTCAAAGGCCGCTGGCATCCAGCAGGCCTAGTACTAAAACCAGATCCTGCCCACCACCTCCCCCTGCTCCCTTTTTCACTTGAGAGGTCTCAGCTGGAAGGTAAGCTGGTCGCTCTACTATCTGTAGTAGTCGCAGTGGTGGTTTTGAACTTGCTGAAATATGCACTGTATGATGTCCTGAAGCTTTGCACGGAGGGAGCTCCGGGCTGGGAAGATTGT